CCGATTAGCCAAAGTCTGTTATACACAGTTCACTAATAGGAGCTCAAATTTACATAGAATAAAGGCTAAATTACTTGCTATGAAGAATGGCTAACCATGCTAGCTACGGTAAAAACGTGTCATTTATAACAAATACTGCAAAAAATAAGGTATCTAGTTTAAAAATCCCCAAAGTATGGCTACATTAAACAGAATAAAATAAAGAAGGCAGGTGTAGAGTTTCAATAATAGTATATTAGTCCAAAAAGTCAAACAATAAACCACCACCAAACCCTGTACTGGATGTGGTCCAAATGTGTAACACTTGAGGTGTTTACACCGACAATGGATTTAATGCTAATGTAAACAAATGTTACTTTAAAGCTGTTCTCACATGCTGTAATGCTGTATCCATTACATGGAATATTAATATTTTATTATGTAACATGATGTAATGTAGGCAGCACCTCCCCCTCCCTGTGGTTAACGTAGTCCTTACTATAAGGTTTATTTCTATAACACTTCAGTTAATAGTTAGGTAAAAAGAATGAGGAATCTGGTTAAGAAAAATAATATATATATATATATATATAAACATATATTGGTAAAATGGTATATTATGCTACGATAAGATTCTTTCCTTGCTTTAGTTTTGTTGAATGTCTATTCCAAGACTACAAAACTTTATCTGTGTGCTGCATGCTGTAAGCACTAATTAGAAAATGGAATTTCTCACTAGTTGCGGCTCAGTTGTTGATTCATACACTTTGCTCATTTCAGCAGCAGCTTCTTTGTGTTCTTTAATTGCAATCCAACCATGGAGCTATTTTTTAATATCGTTGACATTCAAGAATCCAGATTTTCATATAAATAAAATAATAAACTTAGTCATTCACTGCAACAGAAGCAAAAAGAAGTGCTTTTTTTTTTTTCAAACTGCATCAGTCACGCTTTGAAGTGAGACTAATCACACAAACCGCCCAGAGCGTCAGTGATAGTGTAGTGATCGCAGACACCTTGAGTGATTGTGTTTTTTTGTTTGTGTGGGTGAGTTTATGTGTTGTGTGGGTGAGTGTGTGTGCTTATGTTACTTGTGTTTTGGCAACCTGGCAACCTGCTATTGTGTGGATCTGCACTTCACTGATCAGGATATAATTACTGTCCTCAGCTGAAGATGTGCAGTATGGCTGAGGTAAAAGGCATTTATCAACAATTATTGTTTTTCTGATCTAAATGCAACCACAGAAATGTTGAAGACAAATTTTAAAAATTACAAAAATTGCAACTATCTTACTTTGAGGCATTTGTGTGATGGATGGATTGTTTTGTTTTTCTTTGTAAAATGTATAACTTTTGATGGTTTTAAGCTTGATTTGATTGGCTCATTTTTAGCTAATGCTAACTTTCTGTTACATCTGTGCAATTTGTAGCTAAATCAACTAATCTTTACCTTTTAACATGGCTTCTTCTTTCTCCTCATTTAGGCTAGTTTTTGTAGCTTGTATGCTTTTATTATTTTATTACTTTTTTACTTTTATTTTATTACTTTTATTACAAGTACTATATTAGTCATTTTTTGTCGTTTTTTTGTCCATTTCAGAAGCAACTAATTTTGTGTATTTATTTTTTGTGCTTAGGAAGCCTTTGTTAGTACTAATATAATATAATATATTTTCAATATTTCCACATAACAATCTCCTACATATTGTTTTTTTATCACAGGGTCATTTAAATATATATAAACTGACACGCCTGTAGCAACGTTATAGTAAAAGTCCCTGTAACTTCATTAAAGTCTGCATGTTGCTGGAAACCAGAGACTCTGGAAACACCAACACACATACAAGGAGAATAAACAAACCCCTGAAAGGAGTGTCCAGTGACACAGAGTGATGCTTTTAATATTTTTAGACATAAAAAGATCATGTGTTGATTGTTTTCTTCCTGCGGTGGAACTGTGTCTCGTCCCCTCTACCAATAGATTCTGTATGTTATTCTGAGCCACTGTGCCTTCAGGCAGGGCATCATTAAAGATTCTCTCCTCCTCCTCCTTCTCCTGAACAGCCCACCACTAACCTGCAGCTGCAGCTACTCCTACTGACCATTATGCCTCCTGGCATGGCTCTTTCCATTAGGCCCGCTGGTCACGTCAGGGAAGGTATGGCAGACTGTCAGGACCCACAAACTAAATCTGAAGATTCAACACACAACTGTTGGTGTGACTGCCTGTCATATTACTGCCTTCCTCCAAATTGCTCAGATATATTATTTATGGTCTGCCGCTTGGACAACTGTATAAAGAGATGTAACGTATGAGGATTTAAACAATGTGGCACTAGGAGTTATATTTACACACGACAATCACTTCAATTGTTCCCTTGAGGATCAGGTCTGTGTGAAACATTCAAATGTGACTCCCAGCAGCCTCTGTTTGTGTCCATTAACCTCCGACAGTACATGTACTATGTGCTCTCCAAATGACAGGAATGAGTTGGTGTCTGTGTGGATCCCAGGAGACAGAACCAGTGACGGACCGAACCCAGGTGCTGAGTCACAGGCCAGTATCCTAAAGAAAAATCTTCTTTTTTTTAAAAAAAATGTACATTATTTAAACTGCCTCCAGCAAATTAAGATAATCTACAAAAACATACAGCGGCTGAGTGTTGACCTCACACGGACAGGGAAAGGTGAGGTGATTAATTCAATTATTTGAGCACGTAACGCTGTAGTGGGAGGTCACTATCTTTAGGGTTGCGTTGCTATAGTGGTATATTTTGGTAAAATATACTGCTAAAATATATATTTGTAATTGTGCCTCCACGCTTCATAGGACTTATATTTGGTGCAGGTTATATGTTGTATTTTAAATCATTAAATACAAATATTTTATGATGGAACTTTTACCCAGTTTGGATTTATCTCAGGCAAAAGCAAGTTCTTTTCTAGTATAAATACATGAAAATAAACTGAACTCTGTCTTCTGTCTCTATTCTCTTGACCCTCTGTTCCCATCTTCGAGCCTCCAAAGCAAAGGCATCCAGATACATTTTTTTAAAAAGCTTTATTTTCCTGCACTATAATTTTTCTATGATGTGTTGAACAAAATGTTTTTTTCTTCTTCCTCACTGATAGTTGTACTTGGTGACAAAATTGGTCAATTCTGTCTTTAAAGCCTTCCCAGAATGATTCTGCTGTGGTTTTACTTATTTTATTTATCTTTAATTACTGTTTTTTGTGTGTCTGTGCTCAGAACACCAGTGCAGGCAGACTTTATCAATTAAAAAATGTATTTTAAGTTTATGTAGTTATGTGGACTCTTACATCTTCAACATAACAACATTGTTACAGTAGAGCATAAATTGAATGCCTATTTTCTTTTAACGTTAATTGGCTGCCAGTGTTTTTAACACACCGCCTGTCACATGGATTTGTCTAACTTTCCTCGCCCTCATTTGTGAAAGAGGAAATAGGATTGTTATTGTGAAGCTGTTGTTCTGATAATTAAATGAAAACGTGTGATTGGACATGATTTAAATTCCCAATTCTAAATTCCACCCCAGAGGATTATTGTCTTCAACAAATGCCTGTCAGGATGATAGGACTATTTATTCAGCTGAATCCAGTTTCATGGAGGCCCATGTTCTTTTCATGAACTTGCATTAGCCGGCATTCTTCTTGTATTATTTATGAATCTTACTTAACCCCTGCAAGATGTTGAAATGTCAAAAAGTTTGCCTGCTTGCTCAGTCTTGCATCACTGAAGCAACAAACACGCAGGTTTCACATTTGACATTCTTAACAGCTGGACAGCATTTCATAATCCACCAGGATGACAACAATATTTCTCCACACTAGGCCAGGCAAATGTGTTACAATAATAAATAATAATAATAAAAAACTACTTTTTTTTATCTGGCAGTTCATTATATAAGGCAACCAAGCTAAGAATTACTGTCAGGATTAACAAATGAATCCTGTTAAATAATTAATGTGATAATTACACTAAAACATATAAAGCATTGTAACGCAGGGGAAGAATGATGGACAATGATATATCCAATAACACGACCTTTCATCCAATTACCGTTGCTCGAATACACAAGTTATTTACACACACTGCGGGGAAAAAATATATAAATTTCAATTTTCTTCAAGGTGTCACACACATATATATACATACAAAAATATACATTAAATATATATACAGTATATATGTGCATATATATATATATATATAAAGAAAAGGTAGGAGGGGGCTAACGAGGCCGTGTAGAAGTAACACAATCACCCTAGAGGGAAACACAGGAGGTGGAGACAGATCACAGAATGGGTGTGGACAAAGGAAAGCAGCGAGGGAACACCACCCATCCATTCATCCATCCATTGAACCAGGCCTTGGTAATGTAAGTCCCAGAAGAAAAACCCATAATCACATGGTGATACCATCAGTTCAACCAGTGATTTTCTCTGCAGTAGCATTACTACCACCATTCCAACACTGGTTATGTAGCCTTTATGCTACACACCACGATGACCAAAGTTGATTGTCTTTCTTTTCATGACATCTCAGTAATATTCAGCAGAACAGTTCCGAAACCAGAGATTTACCACCCCTACAACCCATCTGCCCCTCACCTGTCCCATCCTCGGTGTCTCCTGCCCTCAGGCTACTTCTGTCTGCCAGGAGGACGCCCACAAACCTACTCCTTCTTCTCTGCTCACAGACAGGTGATCACAACTCCCCCATGTGCCTTACATTTCACACACTAACTTATCACTGCTGGTGCAGAGAATTAACTGTCAGTTTAAATAAAGAGTCAAAGGTACACTCCCAGAGCCATGAAATGAAATGACTAACCCCAGAAAACTCATCAGATTTCTTATCCAGCCGTATTTAACTTTCACCTGGATTTTGGCAGTCTGCAAAAAAAATCTGGCAGACACCCTGATAACCTTAGACTCACTGTGCAAATACATATATATGAAATTTTTAATTAAATAGAAAGAGAAATGCTGTGTACCTACTGTACTGTTCCACTGAGGCAGATCCAATCGGTCCAGGGTGTCTACAGTTGTTCAGGGCTGAGGAGAGGCTGGAGGAGGAGAGGTGGAGATTTGGGTAAGTCTAGTTTGTCTGTGTCTACTATGCTGAGAAACATGGGTAACATGAATCTTCAGTCTGAATCGAATAGCTGTTTTTACTGTTCTCAAAAAAGACGTGCCAGACCTTTTTTATGTACAGTAACAGTTCAGACATGCTTTGTCGAAATGTTCGAAAAACAACAAAATATTAGTCAAATGGTTAATATTTGTGCAATATGATGTTTGTAATTGTTCTAATTAAATAAAAATTACATTTATTTAATTATGCACTTAAGCCAAAAGCTATTTTGCAGTGAGCAACAATTTTATTATTTTATCTTTTGCATTTTCCAATCTTTGGCTTCCTTTTGGTTATTTTGTATTATTTGGCCAACCTTAAGTTGTGTCATCAATACACAGTATATATTTTTATATTTAATTAAATCGATTGATTTTGGTTTTATTTTTGGTATTGTTCAGTGATTAGCTATACTGTTTAAGATGAGAGGACAAACAGTTTTGCAGATTAACGCTGATGTTCCTTTCGAAGACCCCTTCCTTACCTTTTAGTACTTGCCACAAATGTCAGCAGAGTTTTAAAAAATAGCTGAAAAGAACTGTAAGTGCCACAGAAAGACCTCAAACATTTCTGGGTTCTAGGCTTCTTCCTTAACAGAAGTATGAGACCTGAATGCAAAATAACCTTGCTGCAAAAGAGCGAGAGAGAAAAAAATACTTCTAAGACTTTTAATTTTTTTTTCTATTAAACTATCATTAGAATAATATCCTACAGATCAAACCATCCATTTTGAATAAAACTATTTTACAATTACGTTAGTAAAAACTAACAAGCAATATTTTTGAATATAAATTTGAAATGCAATTGTATCCCCTGTTTCACCCCCTCTTCCTCCTTCACTTACTGTAGGCATAGCAGCAGAGAAACAAAGTCAGTTCTCCTTTTGCAGCAGGTTGGCAGAAGTCAGGCAACAGCCTTACTGTAGATAGAACTTCACTGGAAAATAAGACAAATGAGAAAAAACACGTTAGAAATACGTGGTGTGTTTATACTTTTAAGGTGTATTATAAAATTTACCCAGTAGGTGGCAGCAGCAGATGCTAATTGGGATCACGAATGACCACAGGCTGAGTCGGCACTCACAAAGAGTGTCTGCCTATGTCTAACCTCAATATTTGAGACTTAAGAGACTTAGTATCTGACCAGATCAAATCTGATTATTTAACTATAAAATAGACGGGCTTGTCCGCGTGTGTATTTATGGGTAGTTTTGAGTTATATTCAGACTAGTCTTTGGTTTACTGGGTGCTGTCCATTTTGGCCATCACTGAAATCAACCCTTCACTCTAACAGTACAAGTCATAATATTAATAATATATAGTATATCAACTCCAAATATCCATATTGGAACTAATTGGCTGCTTTAATTATAAGTTTTCCCAACGGTGTACGATAAGAGCCGAGACAGCTGACACATTTTTGTCTCCGACAATAGGCAGCAGCTCAGTACCCGAAATCTTCAGGCTCCAAAAGGGAAAAGTGATTAGAATAGTTCCACCAGGGTTTAAAGGGTTGATTTGGAGTTTGAAAGCCGGATTACGCCGTGATTGTGCACGCCGAGTATCAGCAGTGTTACTGAAGAGAAAGGGATACAAATCTGATTAAACACCAGGATTAAAGAGTTTAAATCAGAGGAATGTATCGATATAGCTGCCTGGAGACCAGTGTCACCAAGAACAGGTCCACTGTTTACATAGCTACTAATAGCACACCAACACACACTGTCTATCACAAACAAGCAAGTGTGGGAGATAAGAGGGGAGGCATGGAGCCAGGCTGGATTAAAGAGGCGGACATCATTCCGAGAAGCAGTGGGACAGCAGGGCAGAACTAATGACAGCAACAGAGTAGTAGGTGATAAACTGTACTGAGTGGGTTGTAGGTTTAGAAAGTATGAAAGTAGTGACTCAGAACAAGCTGAGAACAAAGTTAGAGGATGGAACATGAAAGTGTATACACTGGAGTATGGTGGGTTATAGTGTACGACAACACAGTAAAACACTCCAAAAACATGTAGGACCAGGTAAACTGAACAATCTCTACAGACTGTATAGTTATGTGATGGATTGAGACCGGCCCCAGGTGGCCCCCGCCCTCAGTGTTTGCCCTGGGACACTGTAAACAGGATTATTACTAAAAGACGAAATATTTTATTTTTAAAAAAAGCTCACTGGATTTTAAATAGATTTTGTCATTTAATTAGCAAATGTATAAGTAAATACCTACATGTATATATTTATTATACATTTACACTGATAACTGAGCCAAAATAAACAATTCAAACTGCAGCCTTTTGGAATAAAGGAAAGTAGGAATTAAAAGTATGTTTTTACATACTTCATTCAACATTAATTTTTTATAGGGTTTTATAGTAATTTTTAACATTTCCAAACGAAGCCGTTTAAACCGGTAGGCTTACCGCAGAACAGCCGGAGATAGCACCACTAGCATCAGGCCCTGCTTCGGCAAACTTTATGTACGTTTATACATTTGGCCGCATACGTCAGAGGTGTCTGCTTTTTATCACGCATCGTCTCTACTCTTCCTTTCCTTTTCTTCTCTATTGATAAGAAACCCGCACGTATGTTTTGGTGAGAAACTTTATTACAGAACATCTTAAAAGTCACAAATAATTAGCATATTTGACAGCTCACCCAAGCATAAAACCAAAAGGGCAACGTGAAGTGATTTAAAATGTGATTGGACCAGCCTCCTGTCAGTCAAGAAACTAGCCAATGAGCCGCGTTTTTAAGTCAGCAGTAAAAAATTAATACCTTCATTATTTCTTCATGTTATATCTTGTCAAGTTAAAAAAGTAGTGTCTCAAACGTAAAAAAAAAAAAAAAACACTGAAAATTACGGTTTAGTTGCAATTATAAAATTGCGAAAATAAACTTGACATAGAAGAAATTTCCTTTTTAAACTTTTATTTTTTAAAAATAACAACGTTCTATAACAAATATTTCAACATCAATTGCACACATTTCAAATGTATTCACAAGAGTCTAGTTTCCTAGATAAACAGTTCTAACAAACACAATCACAGTAGGGAACAGGTTACATCATATTTGGTTATTTTCTGATGAAAATCTTACACCACAATATTTACAGCATTAGTGCAGGATCATTCCAGATCATTCTGTTCTGAACACTTCACAGACATCATAATGTGGAGTCCTCCCCATGACTCCTACCTTCACAGGTGCTACCTGCTCCTGCCGTTCACATCCATCATCTCTTTCTCTTACGTTCCGTCAGCAGCCATTTTGTCAGTACGGTGGTTCAAACAAAAGCCTAGAGGAAGTGCATGCAGCATTAAAGTGCACCAGTGTGGAACAGCTGGATGAAAGTGATCCCACTCAAAGATCAGCAGATGCTAATGGCCAGCACAGGCAGACACTAGTCCACGGCACAGCTGAGCACACACACCCTCACACACACACCTTTACGCTCCGTCACAGAGTGAATTCTTTCATATACCCACTCACTAAGGTGACACTTATCTGGAGCTAAAAATCTACAGCTTCTACAGTTTATGATGGATGTCACTCGAGGTTAATCTATGAACTTGGTGTCCTTCATCATCTAACTTTCTCCATTTGTCCTCCTGCCCATCTCATCAGATCACCCTCTCTCCCCCCAGTTATCCCTTCGCCTTCAGCCTCTCTGTGCCTCCAGAGACATGGAGCGGCCAAGAGCCTTGGGCGCTTTGGAGAACTCCATGAGAGTCGGCTTGACTGGGGGAAGATCTCTTGTGATCTCGTCCACGCTCCTCTTTCTGGGACAGGCTCCGTCTGGAGTGGGGAAAGGCTGCAGATCCTCCTCGGTGTGGGGAGCGCCACGTCCCAGTCTGATGCCCAACTCTGCAGGGGTGAAAATGGGCAGAGGCAGGGTCTTTCTCTTAGGAAGCAGCTGGTGCTCCCTCACTCCTGTTTCCACTGTTCCCACCCTGACCACACCAGAGGGGCAGGTTTGTTTCAGGCAGCGTGCCTGCCACTGTCGGGACAGAGTCTCTCTACGACAGGTGTCATTCATGTTCATTGCCTGCCTGTAGGAACCAGAGAGCAGATAGAATCAGACATCCTGGCAACTTTAGGAGTTGACAACTAGACTTATTGAACTTTAGAATTGAGAAAGATTTATTTTTTCGCTGCTGAAAAGCTCAAATCAGAAATGAAGACTTGAGAAAGTCTCTTAGAAGTGAAGTTCAGGAAAACTTGTTGATATTCCACCACTTATTTCAAGAAGTAACCTGTAAGTTCTTCAACAAGTGGTTTGTGACCCCTAGAGGGTCCATGTATGAACTGCAGGGGGATTAGACATCTTTAAGACATTTTAGCAAAAGAATAAATGGCAGAAAATCTTTTCAGTCAAAAAGGCCAAATTTAGCATTCCAACACATACTGTATTTATACAATATAGGGGAGGGGCTTGGTTTAGTTTTCCTTGTGCTAAAAAGATAAAGATCCCTAACATAGACTCTGATGGTTCTTACCTTTCCTCAGGTTGACGTTTGAGGCTAACACTGTTCCAGTCAGCAGTGTAGCTCTCTCTCTGAGCCTTGTTCTCCTCCCGTACGCTGCAGGCCAGCTCAGCTGCCACCACCACACCATTACACTTCTCCAGCACAGTACAGAATGGCATCTTTGCTATTGAGTTGTTTTTTTTGGTTGATTTTTTTGTTCCGGCGGGTGTAGAAACAGGCCTGAGATCTGCTGTTTGTCGTGGGGAGCAGTGATGCTTCAGCTGGCTGGGTCCCTTGACTTCCGCTGCCTCTCTTTGTGCTGTGTGTGTCTGGGTTGGGGTCTGTGGTCCATTTTATAAATGTGCTGTTGCTATTTATGATGCATGTTGTCACTTGACAATCAGGGCACACTGACATCGGACACCCATGTGCTTCATGTCTCACTCCGGGACAGGGAGGAGGCTGTGATGCTGAGTGGGGGTTAAAGGTAATTGAACTGAAAATCCCTTGATCTAAATTGTGTGCTCAGCACATCAGTTTTCACTTCAGCTGTTATCACAGTGTCTTTGGGGGGAAGATTATTGTAAAGTCACTCAGCATGAGGATTAGACAAACACAGACAACAGGTTCGGTCTCGGTGAGGAATCTTAATGTGGTTTAGGCCGTGATGTACAGAAGAAAGCACCGGTCGCTAATGTGGAAAACCAACAAAAGGCAGCTGTACATGTGGAAAACATTTTCCAGGCCTGTGGGTCATAAAAGCTGGGAAGTACAAGTGTAAGACCATAGACCAACTACTGTATACAAGTTGAATTGAACAGATAATAAAAAGCTGAAACAAAAAAACAAAACAAAATAAACCCAACAAGGATTAAAGCAGAAGTTAGCTAAAAGACATAGATTGAAATTTTAGCATTGTTGGCATAGTTAGCCAATAATGGTAGTAGATATTAGCAAAACAGGCTACATGTTAGCAAAAGACTGCTGAAGTTTGGATGTTCTGAAGACAGCTTTACCTAAGCAAACATTTAGCAACAAGATTTAGCAGTTATCTAAGACCATGGCAAAAAGTTGCAGTTGTTTGGGCCAAGAATGTGAAAGTTACACTACACTGAATGGCCAAATGCTAGCATTAGCTTGAGGTTAGCCAAATAACACAAAGGAACAATTACGCTTCACTAACTCATCATGTTTGATTAAAAAAATGTGAATTGTGATCCGGTTACAAACGATGAATGTAAAAGTTAATGATCTGTGTGTCGACAGCTCCAGCGTCTGCACTGACTTTAGTACGGGTAACAGTTCAGAGGGGATTTTTGATATTACAACAGCTGTGCTCCAAGACAACTTCAACCATCTCATTAAATGCCATTACAGTGAGTGAGCTGCCTCACGGTAGTTAGAGCACTGTCCCCCCCGTGATTCATTACTGTGGTGACAGAGCACCACGCAAGCCGTCATCAACTCAGGTTACCCACACACTCACACTTACACACACACACACACACACTCACGTCGACAGTTCTCGGCTGGTGTGGCGTGTTACTTCCTAACCGTGTGAGTCATTCTCCTATAACAGGTAGTGATATCATGACTTATCAACTATTGGAATCAGATCAGTTATCAATAATGATGTCAGAGAACATGTCCTTAAATTGTTCTCAAGTGTATCTGTAATATAGATAATACACTGCAGTATGACGTCCGATATCCGATATGCAGATATAACACTTAATTTCTAATTCCGATATCAACCGATACTGAATAGGCCTGGTAATATTTATTTATTTACCTGTACAAACCACTGTATGACATGCAATTCATTAAATGAGCTACAATGCTGCCATCTTGTGACATTCACTTTAATATACAGCCGTTTATCCCCAAAGCCATTTTTAGGACACGCATCATTTGGTGAAACCTAGGCATTGCATTATCGGGTTTTCATTATCGGAGGAAACACCTTTAGATTCTTACAGATATTACGTAATATGCTAATATCGGACCGATATTATTGGACATCCCTACTTTTTTCACTTTGCTTGTCGACTGTCACTATTTTAGGGCTTTATCACCTTAATTTCTCAAAAGACTGATCCTGAATTTTAAAATTGTTTTTAAGATTGTTTGTTTTTTTTAAAAATTATTAATACATTATTGTTTGTTCCAGAAAGAAAAATAGAGATAGAGGGAGCTTCTAAGTGAGCAAGAGAGAGAAAAAAAAAGGGAGAGAGTGAGCGTCAAGAAGAGAATGCCAGGCATCTCTGAGGCGGCGTGTTCACTTCTGTGGTGACGACATTGCCTTCATAAATGCCATTTGAGAAACAGAGTAAGTCACTGTGCGAGGTCCTTCACCACTGACGTCATGTCTTTAACTTAGTCACTGAAACAGCTGTGTCCAATGTCCTGCCCGGGGGCCAATGCTCTGACCAGGAGGGTCAAACAAAACCAACAGTTCATAGAAGTTCACTGGTTTGAGTTCTGGTTTGAAATCGGCAGCATTTTTTGTGGCTCCTTTTTGTCATTAAAATTTTTTAAATTGCATTGCATTTAAGTGTATTGACAATAGATAAAAAGGCAATTGATTAAATCAGCCACAACATGAGGGTCAAAGTCAAACTGAGATCACACACCAAGGAGCACTTTGGTGGGGAAATAAAAATATAAAAAATATGTTTGTTTTTTTTAACCTGTCAATCTTTCCTGTTCACCCTTTAAACGCTGATTTACAATCTCTTACACTTCCACAGCTGAGCAGTTTGAACATTGTATACAGGCCGGCCATGTTTTTGTTATGTCACAATATTCACCCTCACCCTCACCCTCACCCTGCTCACACTATGTATCCCCTTCACCCGCATCAAAGCAGGGCACAGGCCAGAGATAACATTTGAGTGTTACATAACAACGCACGCGCGGCAGCTGCTGTGGAGTGACATTTAAATGATCTGTCACCTGGAATGAAATGGAATGAGTAGAAAGGAGAGAGAGGGAGGGCTGGGGGCAACAGCAGCCTGTCAGGAAACAGCATACAAAGCAGAGAGAGAAAAAAAAAATCAGCGAGAATGCGAGTTTGAGTAAGTCAGAATTTTTTTGAGGTTAGGCGCTGGATTTGAGAAGGCAGCAGGCAGAGCCGCCCACACCGGTCGACCTGACACAAAGTGCTTGCAAAGCAGTTGTAGGAATCTGAGGGAAAGTTAACTTTCCATTGATTTCTGTTTGGATTCTTACACAGTCAGGTGTTTTGCTTTATAGCAGCAGACAGTGGCAGCGGCTCTTTGTCTGCGTGCCAGCGGGCTGGTGCCGGGACACGGCCTATTCCTGAGCCAGAGTGTCTCTCTTACCTAACGACAGCCACAACAACAACACGCAGCTGACCACCAAACACCATCACCACCATCCGTATCACAGCCAGGCCGGGTCTCAGCGGGATGGTCAGATGCCGGACAGGCAAGTGGGGGGGGGTTGTGTTCCGTTTGTGGACCAAAGTGAAACCCAGTCGTGGGCTAAACAGGCGGCAGAACATGTGAGGACCAGAAAACTGCTCCACTGTTGTGTTGTTTGTACCATACCTTCAATTTCTAACACGGCACTACTGTCATCATTTAAATGGTGGAAAAGTTTATATGGACGGTCAAATTATAAAATAAAAAAAAGTAATTTTGATGTTGAAAGTTGGAAACCCCTGGCTAAGAACTTTTCTACCAAGATTACATTTTTTTTCACCTCAGCATTGATTATTTTTAGTTTCATGAAATCATATTTGTTTATATATATATATATACACACAATATTTTTTAATTTCCCTTTTGAGCAAACGTAAACCTATATACTATGTATAACCTTTAACCTTTGAAAGAAGTATTTTTCTGTCCCTGTAAAATTGGCCCGGAAACCCCTTAGATCATTAGTAAATTCAACTAACTTTTTTTTTTAGCCATTTTAACTTTTACTTGCAGAATATTTATGTATATTTGCAATTTTTGGAACCTCTAGATTAGCTTTACTTCATTTTAGCTCCAGGCTAACTGCTGTAATCCACAGCTCTTCCCGTGTTCAAACTTTAGTGATACTTGGTTTGGCCATACTGCATATCTGGTATTTCTCCAACATAGTTTGCTTTTAGCCCCAGTACTGTCACAGCCACAGTCCTCAAAGCCTGCAGTGGTCACTGGACACTCCTGGATCATGGACTGCTGCATCTTTATTTCAATGTAACCCGGACACCACAACACAAACACATACTTCATCATTTATACACTTTTTTTTTTTCCAGCACTTGAAAGTCATACACATTTCAGCATTTTTATTTAATTATGTATTTATTTTTAACAACAACTACTACATTGTTTTGCTACTTGCTATTTTTAGAAAGTCAACACGGCAGAGTCGAGCTAGCTAAGGCACTTATCATAGGCTATTTCTGTCCCTGTTGTTTCCAATCATGTGATGATGCTCAGAATCACAGGAACACTGCTAAACAGCTGAAGAACACAGGCTGGGAGTTCGACAGAATGTTCTAACAGTCACCCTGAAAATAAAGTAAATAGATTTTGAGCAAAGAAAACAAATGTAGCTGTTTGTGTGGATGACGATGAACTTTTATTAGCTAAGGTTTCCAAGAAGCAACAGGAACTATTCAAAGCGCTTCATCTGGATGTCAACGGTTGATGAATACTGCCCCCTGCCGTGTGTCTCTTGCTACTACAGCCGGCAGGCCCTGCTCAGTTTGAAGCTTCTTTTTCGCTCTCTTCTTCGGCGTCTCCCGCTGTGTCCAGGGCCTCCACTCTGGCCAGCAGCAGGGGCAGGTTTAAGGACACGCCCTGTGGCTCCTCATCAGAATCATCTCGGGGTGGATAGAACCGCTTTGCCTTCGCCACAAAATCCTCAGCTATGTCTAAATACAGGAGACGATCCTGAGGAGAAGCAAAAAAAATAAAATAAAAATAAATGTATTTTTATATATTATGCAAGATGGCACCTCTCATGTGGCAGTGTGTGGCAGCAGCTGGTGCCATGTAGGTTTTTATTTTCTTTTTGTTCATATAAATCTGTTGACTATTTCTACAATAAATAACTATGGTAGCTTAAAAACGTTTAGATACTTTGAAAACCATTTTTGCTGTTATTTTATATTATATTTTATTTATTTTTTAACTTTATAATTATTATGTAACCTCTGTTTTTCTTTGTATTCTTTTTTTAATTCCCTTTCTTTTTAAAAACAATTTAGCTTAGCTTTAAACATTTTTAATCCTCCTTGGTTTTGGTAATTTAAGTTAAATAGTTTTTTTATCTGGTAGTTTTGTCTGCACTCATTAACTTATACTTAAATATGTTGGGTTATGGTTTCGTCAACTTTTAGCTATTCTCGACAGACATCTAATTATCTATTAAAATTGTTTTATTTTTGTTCTTGTTTTTATGCATTTTTTTTTTTTACATTTTTTATGATCTTTAGCTATTTGTCTAACATGTAGCTACTTCATAAATTTTGGGTTTTCTTCCACGTTTTTCCAAGCTCAATTTTAAACCTTGTCTTAAATGTATTTTAACGATACACAGCTGATAATAATAATAATGACCTATTTGTCATATTTCACTTCCACATAACTACACTTCCTTCTTCCACCAACTTTAACTATTTTCCTTGCGGCAGGTCATTTAAGTCATTAAATAATGGGAACAGGTCTACCACAGAAACTGGAACACGGAGGTCAAAGGATCAGGGATTAAGGGCCATCGCCGTGAGCCTGAAGAGGTCACTATTGTCTAACAAAGGTTTATCAGCCTTGCTCTGAGCGAAGTTATGAGAGCCTTGTTGTTCGGCCTGGTTGGTATGCTGGACAGACCACCCGAGGGGTTTGTCTTGACCACACAACCCCGCTCAGAACAGACACTCTCCTGTTTTTGTGATGAGCGGCGGCTCTCACCAGGATGAACAGGTATCTCTCCGGTGGCGAGTCTCTGGAGTCGAAGATGGAGGTCTCTGAGTGCAGAGTGTGGAGGAGGGCACGTGCTGTCTGAGCGTCACGCATGCGGTCATGTGAGGCCCCGGCAGACACTGTCAGCAGAGAGTCTGCCTCTGCCATGAAACCTTCAACACAGGGAAAAACCTTAGTACGGACAGGATTATAAAGAAAAGAAAATCAGGGAATATTGTTTCCGAACACAATGTCTTTGTTATGTTACTTTGTTGAGAAAAATTAAAAATTATTTCACAAACATCGTGATTGTCGGCCCCTCAGATAGCGAGTCAGCTGTTAGTGTTGCTGCTGCAGTAACACACTGTGTTGGTCTGACAGACGGGTCAGCGAGTCAGGTCTTGGCGGCTCGTGCTGTTTTCCTTAAGAAGACTCTTTCAGACCTGTCCACACGTGACGGTCTTCTGACCTGGAAGCTAGTTTTCATTTCACTCCTGATGCTAGCTAGTTGCTAATGTGTCATTTTTGTCTACTGGAGGCGGTTTGTCAACATTTTCTAAGAATCCCTCAAGCTGTTCAAGTGTAAAAAAAAACCCCAAACTGTTTCAAATGTCACAGGGTTTAACACAAGGTTTTACTCTGTGGTTCACCGTAGGGATGGTGTTCTGTGGGTTCTGTGACTCTCCTTTATTTTTTTGGAACATATTTTATCTGGACAAACACCAGGCTTCGAATCTTTCTGGCCTCAATCGACTACTTGCTCCTCTGCAGTTAATCTCATCCTTTCATCACGGCTGTTAGCTCTTGATACGTCACCTGATCTGTGAGCATCGACGGCCTTTCCTGAGGTGTAAACCCTTCATTTTTAGCTGCAGCTTAAACCGTTAACAAAGTTTTTATGTGGGTTATGAATCCAAACACAGGTGCACCTGGACAACACGGTGTACCGTAGTAACTGTGTCCTGCCTTACCCAGGTTCTCCAGAATCGTTTTCCACTTTTCTCTGACCTCTCTTCGAGTATCCCTCATGGCCTCGATGTCCACACTCAGGCGTCGATAGCCCTGGAGGGAAATAAGAATTGATGTTATTTAATCATGAGGGTAGATCCTCTGGAGCCCGGGTGTAGAATGTGTAGGATGTTCTCCGCCTCGTACCGAGGAGCCCAGGCGGGTCTTGTTCCTGGCCTGCAGCAGTGTGAAGAGGACTCGGTCGTCATGTCTCTCCGAGTGACTCGGATCTCCGGGCTCACTCCACAGGTTGGCTTCTTCTTCCCGCCGTTTCTGGACCTCTCGGTTGAGATACTCCAGAGGGTCTTGACTGTGTGTTCAGTCTTGACTGTGTGTTCAGCACACACACACACACACACACAGAGAGAGATCCAGACACATTATTCTCACAGGACAAACCTAACAAGCATTCTAGTGTAAACACAGATGAGATACAGTCAGTCTGAGTCTTACGGCATTAACGGCTGCTTCTCTTCCTCGTCGTCTTCATCGCCGATGCAGCAGCAGCAGCAGCAGAATTGCACGCAGAACCGTCGGAAAGCTGAACCCATGGATGTAGAGGAGGGTTTCACAGTTTCACAAATAAAGATGTTGGGTTCTGCACTCTGATGTTAGATCGTCAAGTCGTAGGGAGGAAAACTCAGGATCTGGAATTCTGATGGCTCGCTGTTGTCCTCAAGAACGACGTGAAGCAACGTCCATCAGAAGAAAGTCCTCCGAATGTGGGTTCTAGTGTCTAGTCTGTGGAGAATCCCAGCCTAAAAAATAACAACAAAAAAGTGGCATCTTAAGCAAAGACAAAACAACATGTGAAAAAAAACAAAGATGTGATCCCAAACCTCTACCTAACATCAGCTTCCCATTTTCCAGGACCTTGCTGCAGCAGCTCCACGTCCAGCTGAGCTTCGAGCATCCAGTGTTTTGGTCGGACCTCAGAGTGGAAGATCAGACAGAGAGGAGACACTTGTTGCCTCTGCTGGTCTGCCCATGGAGGACAATGAGAGCAGTGAGGACGGGCTGCCTGACTGACTCAGAGACATGGGCTCAGAAGACAGTCACAGCACAATCATGTGAGCTCCTCCATCGCTTCGCTTTTGCCTGGAGGAGAGCACTTCCCCTCCACACCAGGACTAATGACATACCCACTCTCCATGACTGCATTGATTTTAAGCTTGAAACAGTAGAGACGTGGACAACTGGACCGTCTTGGTTTGGAGGAGACCAAGTTCTGGAGAACTGGAGATGAACTCTAGCATGATAGGTGAAACAAGACGGTCCAGTTGCCTGGGTCTTAACTGATTTAGACATGGATTAAATAATCACTAACATATAAACCTGAGATTAATCAAGATTTTTGATTCATTAATCAAAACGACTTCGCACGTTTCGTGTCAAGAAGATATGAAGTTTCCTACGAGAGTGAGGCGTTAAAAAGGGCAATAAAAAAAGTCGATTTTATGGCTCTTCGACTCGAAGGCAATCTGTTATTTCTCACAAAGGTGAGTCGTGCACATGACACGCTGCACTGTAGGCTCCAGTCACAGGATGGGATTCCTTGTGATGTAAAAACCCTCGTCATCCAGTGTGAAAAATAATAATCACTGGATAAATCGTCATCCGCTCATGATTTTATCTCCATCCGAGTCGTGTTACTGTTCGTCCGATTCAACGGTGCTGAATGTTTCCGAGATCATGGTGTTACTGTGGAAAAAAAAAACCTTGTTACAGTTCGTCCACTTTAGTTGGGAATTAGTGACCTATTTATCAGACACGTTGTTTCCAATTCTTAGCAGCTACTTCTAGCTAGTTATTCTATTTTGGCCATCTTTTGGTCAACTTTGAGGGAAACCGTCTTTGTTTCTTACATCCATATATTTTGTCCATATAATCTGTGAAGGGATGTCTTAATATTAACGTTTTGACGATATTGCCGATTCCATCCAAAGACTTAATTTCCGATTCCAATATTCATCGATACCGATACATGCAGCCTTTTCCACTTTCCCTTCAAAACTATTTTTAGTTTATCATCTATTTATCATCTGGGTCAAACCCAGGGACTGTGTTGTTGGTTTTCATTATCAGAAGAAAAACCGATATCAATTCTTACCGATATTACACAATTAAGATAATATCGGCCAACCGATATCATCGGACATCTCTATATCTGTGTATTGGTTATGCTTTAGTGGTCTAGTGGTAAGTTCCAGGTTTGTTATGCCTCTAATGGCGCCCCCTTTTGGGCAACCTGTGTGGGACGAATAAGGGACGGCATTTCTAACAAGTTCACAGGTATTTTATTAAACATAAGACACAGGTTAAGACTCTGTAAAATGCTTGGTCAGAGTTGATGGTTTGAAATTTATTCGCTGATAAATACATCCAAAACCTATTAGGTACAAAAGAAACAAATACTCCGGGTTAGGCTCACGAGGCATGGTACGAGTGGACGCAGCAGAGCTCAGTTTGATGTGTGAATGAAGGGAGCGTCAACAAAACTGCCGACTGTGATTTGACGTCCGTTTCTGTAGTTGAATTCACTGAATATCCAAAACAATGTAAACAATATTTGATTAAACTTCATGAAGAACGACCTGGGCTTCAATGTGTCGGATGGCTGCCAAACTGCCCACGTGGGCCACACATTATTTACAGTATCATGGGTAGAAACACACCTAAGTGCCACATCTTAGCATGCAGTAACACACACTTTTTTAACTACAACTTATCTCTCTAAGTGCCACATCTTAGCATGCAGTAACTTCAACTTATCTCTTTTTTTTTTTTAAATATCAAGGCAGTGATGAGGCTTCAGACTGCAGTCACTTTAACACTGAGGTGCCCGTTTTACAATCCACTGTTGTCCAAGCACAAATCATGAGTTCCACATGTTTAGCCACAAGGTCACTTGAGGTTACTGGCACAGAAGGAAGCTCTGGAAATTCACACCGTTTGGATGGTGTGAATCTTGTATTTAGTAAATCATCATCACCATCGACTGCCAACGCACTCTGACCTCTGACCTCTGACCTAACAGTGCAGAAGTTTGGCTTCTTCTTTTATTGATCCAACTGCTCCGCAAATTTAATTGAGACAAACACGTTAAACCACAGCAGTGAAAAAACAGAGTCGGAGCAACTCTGTTGGCGGTTTGATGTGACCGTTGCTCATTATGTTGTAAACGAAACCGGAATCTGTCTCTCTGAAGAGCCTGGACTCATGTCCCAAAACATTGATGGTCAGTTTGAGAAGATCCCTTCCAGAAAGACCGTGAACAACCTGGTAGAGGCTCCAATCTCAGTGCCGCGCCTGACTGTAACCATTAAAATCTTTTATTATTCATTCGTTAAGATTTTAGGATGGAAGATCACCAGAGCCAACACAGCATTTCCTGGCTGGTTCAGGGAATACTTGAGCATCTTGAAGTAAAGGTAAAGGCTGCTGCACCTGTGACCAGAACTGGTCATGTTGAAGCAGGAAAGGAAGCGGTAAACGTTGTCTGTTGGTGCTCGGGCTCCAAACACACTAAAGCAGCAAAGTAAAGGCAAACAGTGTGTGTACAGTACAGTGAGACACGGCTCAGTCGGACCACGACCACTTCACGTCCGTCCAGGTCTTCTTGTTGATCCTTGCAGCCATGAAGCTGGACAGTGGTGCACTCAGACTCAGAAGTCAATTGGATTAAAAAAAAAACGACGGAGACATACGTGATCACACTTAAAAAAATAATGAATAAAGTTCAGCTCAATTACTTTCCACGTGGATGTTTGGTTTGATTACACGTCTCTTGTCCTTGCAGTAAATATGGCACGTCTCTTCAGTTTTGGTGCCACTCAAGAGAGCTGTGTATGTCGTTTGATATCGCTGTTCATAAAAAAAAGGCAAAAAAACAAACAGTGGTACCTCCCATCTTTTTTAGTTGTGGTTGTGGTGAGAGCGCTGAGAAGGCCGCAGGTCAGTGATACGTTGGCGTAAATGGGACATGAAGTCAAACATGGTGGCCGCCAGACTCTGGTGAATGAGGTAGCGAGGGAGTCGACCCTGTGGACATAAAAAGACGCCGTTACAAAGGCTAAAAATGTTACATTTATTTGTTAAATTTCACTTAATTATTTTTGCTACATCACTAACTTAATTTGTATAAGTATTTTTACTTCTAATGCCTCAAGAAGATGGAAAATAAAGAGGCTGGATATTATGTTTTATATCTATCTATCTATCTAAACAACCTATGTTTGAAAGACTGAAGTGCAAACAAAGAGCGTTTCTGTGACCGATCACTGTTTCCATCTGCAGAGGTCTCGACAAGTAAAGGTCAAAGCTCCAGTAAAGGTCACGCAGCCCCATTATGAAACTCTTGGAACTGAGCTACTGTGAATAGAGGGTGTTAAATCTAATCTGTCTTTGTCTCCTGTGTGTGTTTAATGCTGATTGGCTGCTTTTAGCACATCGTTAGAAAAAAAAGTCATCTGGACTTTGTTCTCCTCAGGGCTGTGACCTTTTGACCTTAATATTTACTGCCAAATATTTCTAAAAAGACAAATTTAAAAGCAGGAAGGACTTGACACGATGCCAATATTGAGACACCGGGTTGAGCTACAATATGGGGTTCGGATGAAAATCTTTGTTCCCAGGAAGTGCAGAGATTGTTTCCACCTTCAGGTCTGTGTTTAGAACCCAGATGAAGGTGCAGACGGACGGATTACTGCTGGATTTCAGGACCACGAATCCTCCCGGACCGTTCTCCCCCCTAAAGAAGAGGAGTTAAAGGAGTGAACACACGTGCAAAATGATGACATAATTTACTGGATCTGTGACGAAGAGACACAGACGGACCTGACATAGCGACCTGTCGGAGGTCTGGCGTCATGTTCGGTGGCCATGCCGGCAGACACGTAGCAGTCTCTCTTTCTCTCGACGCGTCTGACATTGACGAAGTCCCTGAAACAACGACGGAGGTAAATTTATGAACACAGAAGGCCACACGGTAAAAGCCTGACGTGTTCTGCACTGACGGACCTTGCAGACACGACTCCTCCCGCCGCTCCAGAAGACACGTCGTATGACACCAGAGTGTTGTCGTCGACTCTCTGGAGGATCTGATAAGGAAGAAACCTGCGGTGTGAGAGTCACGAAGGAGGAACGAGTCCAGAAACAGAAACCATCCTGACACGGATGCCGTTACCTGGCAGGCGGAAACTGTTTTGTTCCACTGGGCCATCTTCTCTGGTTGAAGGATCACCTCCTGATACACCAGCTCAGCCGGACACTGCATAAAGGCCTGGACAAGACAACAGCAACGGTGTCAAAGACAAGGGAAAGGAGTGGAGTAGTTTTAATTTGAGGTATATTCTGTTTATCTTCCTGCAACATGTTTCATTGTGTGTACTTAAACAATGACAATATCAGTAATTCTTCCAAAGACTGGGTCATTTTTACTGGGTTTACAAACACTCTTAAAATTGACTAATAAATACAGACTAAACTACTAGGGTCAATATTTACACAAATCAAAAAAAAGAAGAAAAAATTCATTAAAAAAATCCAACCGCAACAAAATCAAAAAAAAGAAGAAAAAATTCATAAAAAAAATCCAACCGCAACGCACACACAAGGACTTTACCTTGAGAATGAAAGTCTTTCCATGGTAGGGAATCTCCAGAGTGTAGACAGAGTCTCCTATTTCCTGACATGTGACACATATAAAGTTAGCGTTAGTGTCATCAGACCGCAGCTTTTCCCAGAAGACATTGTTTTCAGAGGAACTGGGAACAACCACAGAAACCTCCAAACGCACACGGTGAATGAGAACCGTCAGTTTGCTGTGACCTGGCCCACGCTGTAAGGCCAGGGCACAGTGACGATATCCTGCTACCAGTAACTGTCGAAAGTGAATTCTGCGGAAACCGGTTGTGTATTTAAAGAAATTCCAAGGATGTTTCAGATATTTAAACTGCAGCTTCTGAAGCTCACATTTCCAGGAGTGTTTTTTTTTAATATTCTAATTGTGGTGAGAGGTCTGCGGCCCTCTAAGGACACGCACATGAGAAGGTGTGATGCCGCATGCAGCAACTGTGTCAATTCACTTTCATGGCTTCGTCGTCCTCCGTGCTCCCCCTGCCTGTGTGTGTCACTACTGCGCGACAACACTGACAGTGAGTCATTGTTCTTTTTCATGTCTGTCTCATATCAGTATCAGTATCTCGCCTAGTCCTCACAAGATTGTGACATCTGTCCAACCTCAGGGACATCACGGTCGGAGGAAATGTGAAACTATTTAGATTGAGATCACGTAAAAAAAACCATCAGCAATGTCTTTGATTTAGGAAAAAAAGATTTGACAGATTTGACCATCGTAAATACAGGTCACACAGGGACAGAGAAAATTAGGTTTGACCCATTTTTGCCTGTCGTATTGTTTTTTTCCCCTAAATTGTTCAACAAAAGTCAAAGACTTACATTGTTTTTTTCAAATTTCCAGCTGTCCTCCTGAGCTAGGATCTGTTCCACGACCGACATGGCCTCACGACCAAGTCTGACGTATTCCTTCTCCTGTGAGGACACAAACGGGCAAAACGACAGTGAACAAATACTGACTCAAGTGAGTCGAACATGTGCAATCCTAACCTGTAATCTCAGTGGGTCCACGTACCTGAGCAGTGACAGCTCTACGCCCCATACCCTCTTCATCCAGATCTTCTTCAGAGCCTGAGGACACAACATTAAAGCTGCTGCTGAGGTGGACAGGGGAAAATCACTGAGAACAACTCACAACAACTGCAGCAATCACCTGCAACAGATTCGGGCGGAGAGTAGAACTGTCCATCTGACACAGCTCGGGGGTAGACCATGGGGGCACGTTCACAAGCTGCATTCACTGCTGCTAAGTAGGCTACAGTGTCAGGAGGGAAAAGGAATTTGAATGAAGAGAGAGGTTTTACTTTCTTTTCACTTAGTTTCAAACTTGTTTTTCAGTTGTTTTTTCTCTCCTCTCTCTCTCTCACCTCTTTCATCATCTGCTTCTTGCGTTAGCACCTTGAAGTCCAGAAACCAGGTCTCCAGCCAAGCCACCACAAAAGAGGTGATGGGTAAAACATAGCTGAAGGTATTCGGGGAGTCGAGCTGGAAAAAGACCCCAAAGTATCAGATATTTGTAATAGTAATTTAAAATATAATTGTTGAAAAAACATTTTTATCAATTTGTTGTTTTTAGATGCGGTGAGCCGCAGCATCACCCGTCATTTCTTACAATACATATTCCTGTCAGTGCGATGCCAGCGGACATAACTGACATTCTGTCCTTCTGAATTGAAGGCCATCATTCCGTGCAGACTTCCATATTTGTTTTATATATATTTGTTCTTATAAAATCAGCATAAATACTTCCAACAGTTACTTCCAATTTTTTTACAACAAGGACCAATTGTTAAAGGTCCTATCGTGACACTTTTACTAGAGGTGGAAAAAGTGGAAGTTTTGTGAAATTATCTGCATCACAAACAATGAAGAGAAAAAAGTTCCCACTCACGCTCGACTTGATGACCTTTATGACAAGGAAGACAGTGGTCACTAAAGTGGTAATCTGTGGAGGAAGGAAGATGTTGGTTGATGTTGTCATGAACCTATAACAATTGATGACATTTCTAAGCTGTGATGGCGCTGTGGTCAAACCCCTGGGCCTGATGAGGCAGCACCTCATTTCTGAAGCTCTAATTAAATGAAGTGAGTTTAAGAATTAAATGTATCAGTGTCTGTGTGTTCTTGGAGGAACAAGTGAAGCATTCAGCTTTTGACACTTGTGGTAGCCAGCTGCGAATGAGAAATCCACGCTCCTCTAGTGTGTGTGGGTGTGTGGGTGTGTGTTTGTGCTCACTTACTGCAATAACCCACCAGTGCTTTAAACGAAAAGCAGCGTAACCCACTTGCAGACACAGGAAACGAAACACAGCGAGAAGCTGAGACAAGCAGGAGGAAGCAGAAGAAAAAAGAAAGAAGAAACAGTCAGACCTTGGATCACATGCAGGGTTTTGTTAACGTTACTTTCCTTTTTGGCTGTAAATAAAGAAATCACATGAATGTCACAACACCTTACTGCTTACTGACAGATAATAATAGCAAACAGCTCATGTGCACAGTGGGTGATGACCGTGCATGTTTGTACAGAGACTAATGAAGTGACCTGATGAACATCACACATATCTCAGTGTGGTTTAAATTGCATTATCAGGAGCCAGCAGTGAATGGACTACTCACCTCACTTGGACTAAGACATTATATTATTTCTATTAGCACGGCCTCTTATGAAATATTCCATTTACATTTGACCCCAGTGCTGTAAAAACACCAGAGTAAAAACAAAACCTATGTTCACATTGAAATTATACATGGACAATTTAGGTTAAAAATCAGCAGAAAATAATGTTAGACTGACAGCTTCCTGTTAGTGTCTGCTTTGAAGATAAAAGCGTTATTTGTATTAACTGCCTGCTTCAAAGGAAGTCATGTGGACGAGAACATTGTTCTTCTTTGACTTAAGTATCAAGGTGGAGCGCCCTGCTGGAATCAGAACCTCAGTCCCAAATTAGTTACGTGCCAGATAAAGATAACCAGAAAGTAAGCAGGGGATACAGCAAAACTGGCTAAAAGTTGGTCTAAAGGTAGCACAGAAATAATCAGTAAAGTTGGCCAAAACTCCAGCTAGAAAGATAACTAGTCCCAATCGAAAGCTAGAAGTAGCTCATAGCGAAACAACCAGCAGAGCAAATGTTTAACCAAAAACGTAGAAGTTAAATCCATAAATTAAAAAAATTAAATTACACTGTAAAATTTGAAAAAAAAAAGAATAATGAAATATCATATACTCCTAACATAGGCATGAATTAGCATGAATATAATTTAAATTAGCCAATGCTTGAGTGTAGTTTGAGTAGAAAGCTTAAAAGATGATATATGATCATACAGATCTTTATCTACCTGGAGCCAACTACTAGAGAACTGGAGTCTTGCATAAGGGATTCCACTTAACACACTTACAAAAATGTCAAAGAAGGAAGTCTTGAAGTCATAACAAACAACCTCTTTGTCCAAACTGTCCCAGATGTTACCGGGGAACTGCAGGAGGAACAGAGCACACGTACACAGTAAGGAACACGAATCTTCATCAGGATCAGTATGATCAAACCCAAACTATTCTCTCACGTTGAGCTCAATAATCCACAGCAGGGATATGAAGAGCAGGTCGAAGGTCACAAAGAGACAGAAGGTGCGGCGCACGTCAGAAATGGCCTTGCGCTCTGCAAGCGGTACATACAGGTACGGGGACGGGAAGGACAGCGAGGTGGAGTAGGAAGTGTTCAGGGAGGCGATGGCCGGGAGGCTGCCCCCGCGTTCCCCACTGCCGTCTATGAAATGACACAGGAAAGGGAAGGTGAGGTGAAAAGGAAGACGACTGGTTATAAAAAGTCAAGACACCGTGTGTCAGTAAAAGCAAAGATGATTGTCTCTTCACTAAACAATAAGATGGAGAATAAAAAGATTTAATAAATGTAAATTAACAAAAGCCAAGGCTGAGTAAATTTAATAAAGAAAATTGTCAACAGACAATTCCCATGTTTTTTTAAAATATTTTATTTAAATATTTCTTATTTCCTTCCCTGTAATCTCATAACTTTCTGACTTAACTACAGACTTGTTTCTGTCTGTTTTGTGTCCGATGTTACGCTGGGACTGTTTAACAGATCATGGACTTGTAGTCTGCACTGACCCACTCTCTTATCTTTTTATCGACTTTTACCAATCATTCACGAGCCTGTGTTTGAACTTGTATATCTCTCCACTCCGATTTAATGTAATATGTAATATTCAAGTCACTTGTATATCTCTCCACTCCGATTTAAATGTAATATTCAAGTGACGTCATGTGATGGTGTAAACTTCATCATCAAAACACGGCGTGTTCACCGGTTTCAGCACATTTATATATGTGGATTTGATAATAAACGGCGTGGGTAAATAATAAACCAGGACTAACACTGATTTAATTAGACAGTGAAGGAAGTTTGGATGAGAACAGCACATTGTTGACAGAATAACCAGCTTCTCCTTTGTCAACACAGTGAATTACTGCAAACTATTTACTTTCAATTGTTTCTTCGACCACGAACATAAGGTCACGCGGTCTTGTGAGTCATTTATGGTCAGGGTTTTAACCTCCTTAAAATTCCACTCACCAAATGCTGCCTGACACAATCTCAAACTTTTTAAACATCCAAAGACAAACAACAATCGTCGGTTAGTAATTTTTCCTCACATTACATGAAATAAGAAATAAGAAATAATTCTTATTTCTTATTTAACTTTTTTTTTAACAAAAGACAATTTAAAAAAATAGGTCAATTATGACCAGAGAAATGTGTTGCAGGAAGCAGCTGAGAGAATGAAGCCCAACAGTCAACAGGCCACAACCAGAAAATCAATGACAATGAGAATTAGTTCCAAGAAAGATCTTTGACTTGTCACGACAATTATATTATTACTTCTCTTTTCCAAAAATGATACTTGATACTACCGCTAAATGACCCCATTGATTACAACACAGTTGTGTTTAGGTCAACAGTTGGTAATACACCCAATGTAACCAAGCCTTGTTTTGTTTGTATAGCCTTATTTCACAAAACACATTTGTCTCAAAAGACAGTTTTAAATAAGACTTAAATTAAAATTAAAATATCCTCCTAAAAACGCCATTCAACAGAGGGAAATGTATTTTACAGTTACCACCCTCACTGATGTTTTGTTCGAGGATGCTCAAAAAGTTCTCCATAAGGTTGAGGTCAGGGGAGGATGTGGGTAACACCTGGGTTTCTCTCATTTTATGCTCATAGCTGTCGATGATGCAGAGGTATTCCCAGCAGCATGAGATGGTACATCGTCATGCATGAAGATGATTTTGTTAAGGAAAGCTCTTGTATTTGTATCATGGAAAAGAGTACTCAGTCAAAAACTCCACGTATTTTTCAGAGGTCATTTTCACACCTTCTCCAGCTCTCCCCACGATTCTTTAAAACAAAAACATTGTTTTGTGCCATTTGCTGTCACAGAATCACACGGTTCTGATTCACATGAAATACTTTACAGTTGTCTATCACTGCCGCTACTAAACAAGGAAACGTGTTTTTATATAACCCAATTCATAAATTCAAACTACACTCCCATAAAGTATCAAATAGCAAAGCTTACGACGGAATCAGTTGTTAGCCGTTTCTATTAGCATCCACCAGCTCTGACTTTGTTTCACCGGCTAACTACCTTGTCATGCCACGAAATAAAAAAAAGTCTCGAATTTTAACAACCATAGTGAAAAAGAAATTCATATTCCCTCAACCTAGTGTTTAGCAAAGTTACACAAGCCAAAATCAACTTACTTATTTCACCGCATCATCGTCCACAACAACAACAACGTTTCCATGTCATCGTCAAAAGTAGAGCCAGACTTCCGGATCTTACCTCACCGCAAAGAGCGAAAACTGCGGCAAGATGGTTCACGGACTGACTGCGCCGTTCCACAACGCCTCGAGATGCTGCTTTCGTTTTTGCTGTGATAAAAAAAATCCATAATGAATAAACACAATTATTGAATGAAGCAATCGAATCGCGAACGATGTATGTTAAAAAAATACTAGATACTAATATATAATAATAATAACAGTCCATACTCGAGTCTAATTGCAGCAATCGAGAGGAACGTGATGATGTCCAGATACATCTCACTCGGTGAGACAAGTTTTTTTGGGTGATAGCTGTGCGATCTAAGTTCATACATTAAAAGGAGGGACAAACATTGATATTGAAATATATAATCAAGTGGGGAATTTCAAAATTGGAATCTGTGACGGAGGGATGAACTCTAAAGAACTGCAAATATTCAAGCAAAATAACAAAACTGGGCCATTTATACAAGAAGCAGCCAGAGCATACTTTAAAATACACGAGTTCTCTTGAATTAGGTTTGTATATTTCATTTTAAAAAAAAATCCATTTTATTAGAGCACAGTGAATGGAATTTGTAGGTTATTGACTGGGAGTATGTTGTTAGACCGCGAGATTTTGAATAGACACCAGACTTGTTGCGTTTATCATTTATTTATTTATTATTATTTAACATGTGACTGTAACCAATAAACTTACATGTATAAACCACGGACAGTAAGTGGTTTGTAATGAGGTGTAGGTTCGCACTTTGACCACTTGGAGGCAGTGAGTTCCCACGATCATAAACTCCAGTAAGGCGCAGGCATCGGAATGGTGATTGAAGAAAGTTAATAATTCTTGATAATTAAAAAAAGAAGACGATAGTTGATCTGTTTCACCCAGTGCTCATTTGCACTCATCACACTAACACAATAAGTTTACTCTTAGGAGAACATGGAATTGTTTATTTCAATGTCATAAAGCTGCTCACTTCAAAACAACCACATCACATGGAGAGAGAAATTGTAAATTATACAGAAGCTGAATGAGAACATTTTAAATTGTTGCTAACTTCAAACACAAAGACAATAAAACGGAGGGAGTGTTATCTGTAGAAAAAAAACAACCAAATCAGATCTGGTCCCACAAAGAAAAACGGGCCTCTAAACTATTTATTTTACTGTTGCACACTGGGAAATTTAAGTGTCCCTCATGTCGAACTTCATATCCAAGGTTGTTTTAAAAAGTCTGGGCTCCCACACACACCACATTTGGCTGGGTTTGACCCGTATTATAGACCATTGTTTCCCAAAGGCTGGGTCGTGACCCTCAGGAGATGGGTCACCAAAAAAACAAAACAAAACAAAAAAAACAACTGTAAATTTAATTTTAAAAAAATCTGTATATTTTCAAATGAATTGATTGAAGTGTGTGAGGCAGGGGTAGGAGGTGGGTTCTGGGGGGTGTTAGGATACTTTAAAATGAATCAGAGGTAGCTTTGTTCTTAAATAGCCCAACAGTTTCTAATGATGTTAAGAAACTAAAAGCAGACGGGGGAAAAATCACATCTAAAATTGCTTGCTCAAAAACCTTTACTGACATTTGTTACCATCAGTTTCAGTATCCTTTTGGTAGCAAAGAGTCGCTGGGTTCCTACAAAATATTTTATACAATATATATATGTATATATATATATATACAAAATGTTGTTTTTTGGTGTTTTTGTTTATTACAGACTTTCATAAATTAAGGTCAAAAATCCAATATTATTTATTACAGAAATTGTGTTTGAATTAATTCATCATCACATGTGCAGTAGTAGCTTCTAACATTTTTAACTCTAGTTTGAGGTGAGTACTGAGAAAAGGGCAGCAAAAATGATATAAATGCTAATGCTAATTTTGAATTTAACAGTCACAAAATAAACATCTGAAAAAGAATCCAGAAACGTTGGTCATGGAGTTTGAATGCCACTGAGGTGGAGTAACTGCATTACTAGTTATTAAAAATGTTAATTTTCCTACCCTGGTGCGTCACCTACAGTAGAACTATATTTTCTCATGTTAAATATCTCCACATAGAAATGTACAAGTATTTGCAAGTGAGAAGGAAAAGCAGAAAATACTAGCAGACGGCAGGCTGGCAGCAGGTGATGAAAAACACGTCATGAAAAACACATCAAGGTTTAAATGATTAAAAGGATTATTTATTCAGAAAATATTTTTTAAATGAAACTGTTTATATTTTGCAGGGGATTGTAGCTTATTCTACATTTCTATAGGTAGAAGTTGAGTTTCTGGTGAGTACTACACGCAGTAGCAATAACTCTTATCATGACTTTTGTAGCCGTGGTTCAGCGGCTTTTCCTGCTTTAAATCTGTCTTATGTGGCAGATGCCACAAGACGGTGGTGCAAAACACAAGACACTGAAGACATGACAGGACATCAGATAGCACAAATCCATGGCTTAGATCCTGCTAGTGTCTGACAACTGCAGTACTAAACTAAAGTAAAGATAACTTGGATGTTTGTTTTTGTCTTGAAGTGATTACTTCTCATCTTTAAAACGTTGATTCTTTTATATATTTGGGCCAACGGTGACACAAGAGGAATGTCCTCTTTTCTACATGAAGGATGATCTGTGGTACGTATATATTGATAACTGATTTTAAATGAACACTGAGGTCTGAGCAGGAACACTGAGGGAGAGAGAAGGATCTGGCCATACAGGGGATATTTGGTCACATTGACTTTGACCCATCAGCTCCTCTTTAAACAAAAGGACATCAGGCCAAAGTGGCGTCAGCATTTCACTGTCAGTGGATCATTCTTCACCTTTTCGTTAAATGGACTCCTCACAGACAATACCTCTCTGTCCGCTCTGTCTTCTACCGAAGAGGAAGGTGAAAAAGTACAGAAATCTCACATTCTAAATTTCACCAAAGTCACATATTTAAACAAAAACTCTTTATTTTTTCCAAGTTCCTCAATTTTTAACTATTTGACACCTCCCTCATTCTCATGTCGTTGGACTCTCTCTAGCTCTCAGTTGTTTCCTCGACTCTTCTCTCTTGTTGCCACCTCACTTTTATCCCCTTCGTCTTCTTCTTCGTCTTCTTCCTCCTCTCTTGCTTCTTCTTCCCCCTCCTCTTCGTCCTCTTGTCCTCCTTGTGCTGGTTGAATCTCCTGGGCCGGCTCTATGTCGCAGGAAAACTTGACTGATCTCTTAGAAGTCACTGTCTCTGGATGATCTGAGGGGGAAAAGGGCAGGACAATCATCACATTTTGGATTTGAGCATATGATTTCAGAAATGTGTATTTTTCTTAAGAACTATGGTTAATTTTGTCAGAGGAGAAAATTTACATTTGTGATTCATTTTAAATAAGGTAGATAGGATTAGATTTGTAAGCTAACAGTTGTTTTTTTTTGTCACAGGAGGCTATTTGTCAAAGGAGATAGTAGTTAGGTTCACAGAAATAGCTAAATTTGACAATAACATCCAAAATAAACAAATCAATATAAAAAGGTACAAAGAAGATAAACATAAATTAATAAAACAAGACAAAAATATCTTAAGGTAGACAAAATAGCTACCTAAAGGAAAAAAAGAAAAATAGCAAAGTTAGTCACCAATTACCCCTTGAAAAATCCCAAGTTAGTAAAGACATACATTAAGGGTTGATAGATAAAATAATAACCATACAGCAGGAAAAAAAAATCGAGTGTAACTCCAATTAAACCAATGCAAGACGTAGCTTCATTTAGCCAGAGACACTAAAATAGCTACTAGAGAAACCAGGGATTACTCAATTTAACAAAGATAAACAATAGTCGAGAAGTGTGAGTCGAATAGCTCCAATAACTAAAATTTAGCACCAAAATAACAAAATGTTCACTCAGATAGAAGCAACCACATACAGTACGTACAATAAAAGGTAAGAAAATGCTAGGATTTAACTCGATGATTCTGTGTTTTTTTTTTCTCTGTGATATTATGCCATTTGAAAAAGTGTGGAACAGTATATTTTCCTTCAATACATCTGTGAGGGTTAATTAAAAAGTTGTTGAAGCTCATGGTTTCACAGAAATGCACCTGCAAACCTTGTCAAAAGGGTTTATATTCTACACTAGAACAGGGGGGAGGCAATAAGGGAGAGATCAAACGGGGAGGCGAGTGAATAGCACCATAGTTTAGCTCAGCTCATACACAGAGAAAGTCCTGTGCCCACTCATTAATGCTGTCTGCTTTTTCTGACTGACATATGTGTTAGTACCAGGCCCTGAGTCAGCTGCACCAGACCCCTCCTCACAGTTTTGGGGCCGACTAACGCGACGCCACGGCTTCTCTCTCAACACACGGCGTTTCAGCTGCACTGACAGCAGTTTACATCACCTTGAAAAGTGCTCAGGACCCTTCCTCTGAGAATAATGGGTCTACTCAAATAGAAGCTAAACAGTTCTCTCACACTTACAGCGTGTGCTCTGTTCTCTGTCCGTGTGTGTGTGTGTTATTTTCCTCTGCAGTCAGCAGTTTTGAATCACTCTTAAAAGCCGGACTGATGTCACTGCTCACGATTTCTGCTGCTGCTAACGATACAGCACAGAACACACTGGGATTTGTTTTTTTTTTTCCCATTTGAAACAATGTCATTTTTCAGGATTCCAGACATCAGAAATCGTATGTTTTGTAAGTGTTTCCTTGTAAACAGAGCTGGTTAGCTAAACGTTGACCTAAACAGGAAAGCTGAAGGGCGCTAACACAGCGAACAACAGCCAGGTACTCAATAGCAAACAGCACCAGAGTTTAAGGTTAGTAAAAAAAAAAAAAACAAAAACAAAAGTAGCTAAGAGTAATAACAAAGAAATCAAAGAAAGAAACACACATAAATATTACCCAAATAAAAAGATTAGAAGGTGTTAAACGAGAAATAGAAACAAATTAGAAAAAACAAAACTAAAAGGTAGCCAAAACATAATGTTATAGTTTTATTATAATAATAATAATAATAATAATAATAATAATAATAATAATAATAACAATGCCAAAATATTATTATTATTATTATTATTCCTTTTTACTGGTTATTTCCATCTTCATTTTGTTCTGTCGTTAATTCATTCATAATTCATTATCCTGTAAAGGATGGACATATCAGTGTTGTCTCTGCTGTCCATGTGTGCAGTGTTGTCTCCCTCTCACCAGCAGCTTTGGTGGGAGAGTGCTCCACTCCCTTCTCTCCCTCCCACTGGTCCTCATTCTCCTCCCCTTCACAAGGGTCTTCTAGAGGAGGGTAGACACCTAGTTTCTGCATTTGAGCTTCAGCCATCTTCTGTACGGCTACACACACAGGTAAACACAACACAACACACACACACACACACGGAAACACACACAGACAACAGGGACGAGACACACACAGGAGAAAACACACGGACACACGGACAAGGACAGAGGGACATGTTGTTTGGGTTTGACCAGGCTACAACACTGTGGGTTCATCACGGTGAGTTACTGGATGTGGGCCAAACAGGCAGGCTGCCAACTGAACACAGGCTGTGGCAGACAGACAGGCAACCACTGCAAGGCATCACGGCATCCTCACCCTGTCCTGTCATCCCCCGTGTCTGTGTGTGTGTGTGTTCGCTCATTCTTCACATCTCTCTAATGTTGTTCAACAGAACCAAGGCTAATCTCCTCTGCTAACTTTCTCACGATACCTTTAGCTGTTTCAGTTCTGGTTTTCGGGATAACTCTAAATATTAATGTGTAAAAATACAAACTTTTTCAAACAGTCCACTTTCTAAAATTAGGAGAAAAACTAAAAACATGCACGTTTGCCTTTATTTGTGTTCCTTATACATTTTACTTGATCTTGACACCATCCCAGCAGTCATGGACTGAAGGTACTGTATTCATCCAGCTGTCTTTGTTGTTTTGGTTTGTTTTAGGTACAGGCAGGAAATAGGAGAATAGGCCAAACTCCGAAGAGAAAAACCTTGATTCAAAACCAATTATAAAGTTGGCAAATTGTTTTTTTTGTTTTTTTTTTGCTTCTTCATTTGTTGAAAAAATAAAAGTAAATGACCAACCTACAGATTTATGGGACATGAAGTCACTATCATCGCACCTTAAACAATAAAGTCTAATAAATGAACACAAAATTGTTTGTTTTCTGTGTGGTGGAATTCCACAGCTGTATCCACAGTGGATTCTAATCCTGGATGATCCAGACTTTCCAAGACTCACACACTCCCAGCTGTCACACACTTTAATCTCTCCCTTCTCTTACTGTTCAGTGACAATTAAAACTAACACACATCCGTGTGCAGAAACTGAATTTAAACTGCAATATTAAAAGTTACTTTTAATGCTAATCTAAGTAGCACCAAGGCGCTCCCCCGGGTGTTAGCCGTGCTAATTCCCGTGCATTAAAGTTATTTCTCTCCTGTGCGTGAGGTAATCTTCTGTGCACACAAGGTATTACTGTCTGTATACAAAATATATCACCTTCGCGGGACTCTGTTTACTATGCACATATACGGCCATCTGTCGCATGCGTTGATGTCTTGGCGTGGAAAAGCGTGGGAAGCAGCTGCAGCGAAGCGAGGTAAAACAAAATGGAGGCACACACGAGGATGAGTCTACTCACAGTCACACCTGCCGGAGCTCAGTGTCCGGAACTTACCTCTGAGTGACGGAGGCTGATACACATTTGGACTGACACGTTTTGGTTTGAGCACTCCGTTCTCTCCCACCACCCACTGCAGACACACAGACTTCAAATGAAACTCTAAGTTCTTCTCCAACAACATGACAATAATGAGAAAACTCCAGTCTGGCCTGCAGTCACGCAGACCCAGGTAGGGAATTAAAAAAATAAATTCAAAAATTAAAGTCGTAATGTTATGAGAATAACGTCAGGACACGACAGGGTGTGTCAGTCAGACATTTATACTAATGTTATGACTTTATTCTCATAGATTTATGACGTTATTTTCCACCTTCTTCCCATAAATTTATGAAATGACTTGTTTCTGGTAAATTTACAATTTCATAAATCATTATTTTACTTTATTTCCTGTTCCGTTAGTCTGCCAAAGATGCAATGGCCACTGGAGTAAAGTAAAGCGCTTTACTTCACCTTTACCTGATGAGTGGACTGATCGTCCTCAGGAGACGTGTGGTCGGCTACTCTGAACAGTGTGGCAGGTGTGGGCCTCCTGCGCCGAATCTGTCGATCAAACACACAAACACAGAAAAACTCATGAAGGGCAGAGTAAATAAAAAAAAATAACAGTCCAGCTATAAGGCTAGCTAAATATGCGTTAGACAACATGGCCCGTTTTGATTCTAGCTTGGCATAGATGTGGCCCACAGTCTACATACCAGATGTATGTGGGCCAAGTAACATATTCTGTGGGGTTCTTTACTGGGCCTCACAATATTAGAACACCCTGGTTTTATGTAGACTATAAACAGACCATTTACATCATTGTTTCTCAAAGACTGGTGGGTCGCAAGAGTTTTTTTTTTTGGGGTCGTCTCGCATCATGTTTCCCAGGAGTTTATGAATAATGTCTACTGACTTGGGTCGCGAAGGTTTGTGACTTTGAAAATATGTGTCCCGAGAAAAACACTGATTTGGAAACACTGATTTAAATAAACTGCAGTATAATATAAGTTGTGATACGTCACCAGCCCAGAGCGGGTTCTAATGGTCAGCACTGACCAGTTCATAGTGAGAGCAGTGGTCAGTAGATTGAATGAGCGTTCTCTTTCGGTTAAACGTCCAAACCGGCTCACAGTGTTCTCTCAGAGAGATAAATAAATCTTTTTAAATCCACTGTGATTTACTGTGAATGAGGTCCTTACACGACAGATAATGCCGTGGGTGTATCGCGTACACTTGTGTACTCTGTCACCAACAGAGTAAATAGGAAACAGGACTTTGTAGTAAATGAGCCAAAGCGTCCAGCCCAGGAACTCCCCTCGGCGTCTCCTTCTCTGACCCTAACTCTGGTCCCAGGGGGCTGACACTTAGCTGCTGATTGTCTGAGAACCAAAACCAGGGCGGACCAGAGTCCAGGTCTGTACTTCCACTTACGCACAGGTCCCTTTAGACAGAACGCTGAGTGTACCTCTGAGAACAAACACTCTGTTGTGCCCCCATCAGGAGTTTGTTAGTTAGGAATATAAACAGTGCTGACTGTATAGATGTGACATCGTGATATGACCAGGGTTTGCTACCTCATCTAAACATTAGCAAGAATATTCCATGGAATAGGCTTCAGATCAGGGGTTTCAAACATAGGGACTGCAGGTCAAAACCGGCCCACTAGGGGGTTCAATCTGGCCCTCTTGATGAATTTTGAAAGTGAACATTTGTAGGAAAACGAAGGGAGAAAACTATTGCTATTTATAAGTAATGATGTCATGATCCTACTGGTCCGACCCACTTGGCATCTAATCAGGCTGTATGTGGGCCCGGAATCAGAATGAGTTCAATAGCCTTTAGGGATTAGGAATTCTTGCAAGATCCAGATCTCCTCAGAGAACGCTGAGCTGTTGTTCCACAGCCTTTCAGACTGGCTTTGTGGATTATAACGATTTTCTGATTTACACTGACATCGATCAAATATATCTGTGGACTGTTGTTGTTTGCCGATGTCGATCGTGTGGGTTGAGGTCTAGGTCTAATGGAACTAATTTTCTTCTCACTGTCTTTATTGGGTTTTAGTGCATTTTCAATGTTTTTCAAAGGACTTTCGTGTTCAGACCTCAGGGACGTGAGGGACGGTTATGGATTCAACCAAAATGTGAATAAAATAAAACAGCGAACAGTGAATCTTGACCTGAACCTTACTCCTCTTGTTTACGGCATCACACAGAATCACAGGAGGGCAGTTAGAAGCCTCGCCGTATTTTGTGTCAAACTTCAGCAGCGGTGTACGTCATCATGGCGAGGCCCTTGTTGCCAAAGCAGGGGCTGAGAGGAGCACGCTGTGAAAAGCTGCGTCGGTCCAACTCAACAACACGGTGTAATCAACCGCAGCTCTTACCCTTATTTATGTCCTCTGACGCATGGTAATCTCATCACGCAACTTCCAGCTTGCCTGTCTCCCCTGTGTCGTATACACTATCTGTCTCCCTCCCTCTCTCTCCCTCCTCTCTCCTCATTTCCACCTCGTTTGATCATGTTAACTTCCTCGTCAATCCTTTTTTCTTGACAGTGACAATAACCTCAGCCACAGCTCTTCCTCTCTGCTCTTCGTCAGCAAAGAACCTTTGTTAAAAAAAACTATAATACTTTCCTTCAACGCTGCACGCTTCATGGGCTTCTTTGGATCCTGCCTGCTGTTAGCATAAAATGCAAACATAACTGTTTGGAACAGCAGGTTAGGATGATAAAGATAGAAAGTGGGTGGGTCCTAGTGGGTGAGCAGGCTGTGCTGAGAAAGTGCTTTCTGTAGCCTGAATAGAAAAGACGATTAGGGATGTCCGATATCAACTTTTGCTGATATCTGATATGCCGATATAGTTCAAACATTTAATTTCCAATTCCGATATCAACCGATACCGATATATGCAGACGTGCATATATATTAAACTTGCCTTTTTCCAAATGTTAATGTTTTCTTATTTTTGGCCATTTTTAAAAACATGTATTTCAACCATAGCTTTTCCCTTCCTCTTATATCAATGAATACAGTGAGTAACACACAGAGAAATGCTGGTGATTTTCCAGCCGTGGAACAGCTCCAGTCCTATCCAGCTGTTACATAACCTGGTGTGACTTTCCAAATTACAACAACACTTGGACAGAACGTGTGAGATTACCACGGCACCACCCACAAAATCTCCTAAACCTTCTCTGCTTACATCGGTCGTGCTGCTTCAGCTCAGGTCAGTCGAGGCAGTGCAAACTAACGGAGCTCTGAGCAGACTGTGGACGTCTCTGTCTCAACAGAGACACACCAGCCCGGGGCATCGACAACACGGCAGAGACAGGAGACAGGAGACAGGAGACAGGAGACATGGAGCTTCCTCAGGAGCTTATGAGAGAATGTGAAAAATGTGTTTTATATGACTCCACAGTAAGGGGAAAAACAGAAGTCGGACGAGGGGCATAGAATTAGGAAGGGATGGTTAGGGACATGTCCCTACCAATGTCCAATATCCTGTCATTCTAGCTACGCTACTTGCTACCTGCTAGCTAGACAGGAGGGGGGGTAGAGCATGAGTCTTGGCCTGTTGTAAATGACAATTGGTTTGAGGTGTCTCCCACATGTTAGCATTAGCGTCTAGCACAACTAACGTTGAAACTAATCCTATGGATAGATTTGTTTACAAGGTGACGATACAGCTTTGCGTTCAGACCAAGACGAAGGGTTTGCGCGGAGAACTTCGTTGTTCGTAAAGTGTATTTAAAACCCCCAAACACTCAACATTAAAGCATATAATACAGATCTCCACTGTTTGCCTCCCCATGATGCATAGCGTCGCTGAATCATTTGCTCAATATGACTTTGCTTTTGTGTATGTGTTTATGCTGGAATTCAAGTCAGATCAGTCCATGTGGGTCTGCCCCCTGGA